TGAGCTAGCTTGTATAGAAGCTATTCTTGTCTATAGAAAAATTCGTTAGATTTAATTAATCACGTGATTCTTGATATACTAATTAATATTTAAATCTTTCTAGAAGCAATTCTTGAATAGTTAGAGATATTCATAAATAAATCTAACGAATCTGAAATCGCTAGACAACAAATCTAACCAAAAATCAATATAGTTTTTGGCCTTTGGGAGTGTCTAGGATATATTCCTGATATGGTTATAAATTTAACTAAAAATCAATATAGTTCCTGAGCTTTAAAAGCATACGCAATACATTCTAGAGGGTTAAAAAATTGTTAGACTTAATATATCTAACCAAAAAATCAATATAGTTTCTAGGTTTTAGAAGCCTCCAGGATTTTTTCCTGATATATAAAAATATCGATATAGTTTTTTGGCTTTAGAAGCCTCTAGAATATGATCCTGATATACTAAAAGTCTAACTGTCCCAAAACCTCCAGAATGATATTGTGTCTGGCAATCATCCAAATATTTATCAAGAATAGCAATAAAGTTATAATCACGTCTTCTAATAGCTACTGCTAAAGCTGGCCTTGCCTTACCCCATGCTTCACTGTACAACTTACGCTCATTTATAGTTTTGCGGTTAATATCCTGCATTTCATATATCAAGCTTTAAATTAAAGCATTAAGATGAGGAACTGATCCATTCCAACCCATTGTTACTGATTGTTCTATCTCAAACTTTTGTGCAACTAGGAATGGCTCTTGTGCTAGATTACTGCTTGTTTCATTGTATTACCGTGATCAATAAGCTGAATATGAAATGTTGTAGCTCGTGTATATAACATTACCTAAAAGTAATGACGACAAACAATCCCACGATTGCAATGGTCGAAGCAAGAACATAAATGTGTTCTATCATTTAGAAGTATTACAAAATGTTGTATTTTATTTGATATAACATGCTAGACTCCTCACATTTCAACAACCTTGTTCGAATCAACCAAATCAAGCATTGACCTTGCAATAATATTGAGATTTTGATTTTCACTAAATAAGATAGGATCATCGAGATTTATCTGCAAAATGAAACATGTAATATTAACGTTTTACTCAATAACTAATGGCCAAATTTTTTTTTTTACTTACAGTAAGATATCTTTGTAACTCATTTTGAGTCACTATCATAGCGTGATATTGAAGCGATTGTTTTATTTGATCTTCTTGAATTCTCAATACTTCCACAGTTAAGTACTTGCATAGCATGTTGCAAATATTTGGAAGAATAGTATTGGCCGTCACAACTAGAGCTGCTTTAGGAGCTGACGCACGAAATAATGAGTACTTTGTTTTTTTATCTTCTTCAAGAATACATGCTGTTAATTTTTCTGCAAGTTCTAATATGGTTGTATTGGAATTAAATATTAATCTTTTGACCTTTGAATTATAGCTTTCAACACGAGAAGTGGATGACATTCCTGCAGTAAATAATTTAAGTACAAATGATTTTGCCCACGATTCTTTATTAACATAAAGCCGTTGCAAGTAATTGACCACATTTTCATTACTATATTTTTCAAGTAGACATTTCCACTGATATTCAAAGATCGTAATGAAGTTAATCCGTTGTACTTCAAAGAAATCTCTTATAAACTTATCATAATTGTCCTTAAAATGATTTTTTAGATTGAGAGGAATATTTTGTGCAATGTGAAACATGCAATTAAGAGCGGTTGTAGTTGGAAATTCATCATGTATTGCAGCAATCAAAGCGGGGTCAGTATTAGTAAAAATAACTTGTGAAGCAGATTGTGTTGCTTCTTTGATTTGCTGTAATATCTATTTATGTGCCTCTTTTGTTTCGTCATTTGTTAATATCTGGGCTACTAGTCGAGAAGATAGATGATTATTAACCACCAAAAAAAGTGACAATACCATCTCATAACGATTAGTTGCACTTGTATTATCATTTAGAACAACATCGCCAAATTCCAACTATCATTCAATTTGATCAGGAGATATATAGAATAATCGTCAAAAACATTTACTATTAGGGTCCCAATCTACCTGAACATACTATCGGGAATCAGCTTCTTTCTTATTCAACAATTCTTGATACAATTTACTAGCATCATTTGTCTGATCCTGTAATTTTGGGCAAAATCGTTAAATTACTTGTCGTAGTATTGGCATATAGACTTTTACAAAATATTTCTCTTCAAGGGCTTTACGAATTTGTTGGGGCTACAATTCATCTTTGTTACAAAGAATTCAATATCATTAGTTATCTCCTTTGTGAATGCTATATTTTCCTGAAAGTTGTAGCGAGCTTGGTTAAAATCATGATTTTTATATTCATTAACTAATTTTGCAATATATACAATTTTGTTAGGATTTTCTTTCTCAGGACACGACAGATTTATTTGCCACGTACATCCAATCCGCTTAGTTGTTGTCTCTTTTTTTGGATCTTTACTTTTTGTCATTTCAGATTGTCCAAAGTGTTCACAAACTATGGTATGTCTCCGGATATTACCATTCTTAAGCTTTTCAATATGATAACAACGTGTCTTAAACCCTTGTTTTTTTTCATACTTTTTAATTTCACTCATAGCATGATTCCAGTCAAGAAACGCTATATCCTCTTGTAACTCATAGTGTTGATTGCACTCAAAATTCTCTATATCGTTTCTTTCATATATATTTTGATGTAATATATTATTACTAATGTCATATTCAGCGTGATTATTATTATATAGTGTGTCAAGTCTATCATCCACATAATCCCACTCACGAAAAGTTGCATCTGCCTAAAATTCTTCCTAGTAAGCCTCTGAATTTATTACAAAATTATTATCATTTTGATTCCCAAGATCAAATTCAAATTGATTATTTTCATATAGTATATTGACCCTGTTAACCGTATTATTTCATCCAGGAAGCATTATATTCGCTAGAAGTTCATGGTAAGTACTTTTAGGATTCATTATATTATACTGTCCATCGTTACTAACGTCAACTTTATTTTTTGCACTACTCCAATCATGAAACATCATATGCGCTTGACTTTCTTGTATTTCTATCAAATATAAGTTATATTAATTGGTATCAAGTGTAAGTGGTTTTAAATGTACATTGTATTAAGCGTAAGTTATATCAAATGCAAGTTATTTTAAGTGGTATCAAGTATAAGTAGTATTAAACGTACGTTGTATTGAGTGTAAGTGATATCAGTGATATCAAATATAATTTGTATCAAACGTAAGCAATATAAATTAACTGTAAGTAATAACAGGTGTAAATAGTTGAGCGAAAATGGTTACGCAAAAGTAGTCAAGCAAAAATGGTCATGCGAACGTGGTCAAGCGAAGGTGGTTACGCAAAATAGTTAATTGAAATTAATCAAGTGAAAGTGATCATGCGAAAGTGGTCAAGCAAAAGTGGTTAGGCGAAAATAGCCAAGCAAAAGTAAATGAAAGTTAGAAATACTTTTTTTTTACTTTAATATTATAACATTAATTTATTAAACTATTTTATTATTACATCATATGAGATAAGGGTCGCATCACAGTGCTATAGCACTATAATGCT